CTTCCGTAACTGTCTGACTAGACCTCATGAAATCCAACGTCAACACCCGGCATTCCACGGTACAGTCTATGCAGGCAGGCGGTTTCGACAGGAAGAAGCGTCACTGTTCGTGGGTTGTACCGTCTAGTCTAAGCTTTTAAAACAAGTTGAGGGGCGAGACACCCAGTGTTTTTTCGGCTGAAGCTTTTTCAGCTGTTGCTTCTTTGTATATTTCGTTCCTGCCTCTTGTGTAATCACCAAAACTCGGAGCGCAAATGGCTGCTTTTATATCTTTGTCACTTTGTTGGATTTGGCTGTCTGTCTCGATTCTCCGTTCAACTGCCTCTCAAGTTGACCTGGGTGTGTATGTTCATAGCTTTCGGAATCCTAACCATGGCAAATAGCCTTTTATCTTTAACTTTGTCATCATGTTATTGTGTTCGAGTTTTACATTTTTGATTTTTAAAACGTAAATGTTGGTTTTTGCTTTACCATTTTGGTTTATAAAGTCTAAATGGATCAGGGAGATTTATTTAAAATGTGTAATCTCAACACGATTTTTCACAAAAGGTTCTGAATATTTTATGAATAGTGTACACACTGTTAAGTATGATATATTCAGAAATATTTACAAATTTTAAACTAATCAAAATTTCACTTCATCATTAACATGTCAAATTAACATAATAAAGAAACTGATATAACTGAAATAAAGAAATGGTCTTTTTTTGTTGTTAAATATGTTTTATCATTATTCTCTTCTGGGTTTTACATCGTACTGGATGTTAAAGGTTCCCTGACACCTCCAAGCGATGTGGAACACATGAACCATGGTGATTGTGTTGTCTGTGAGAATAACTTATTTAGAAACTTAATTTTACTTTGGGAGACGAGAGTTCTCATGAAAAGCATTCGCTGTTTGCATTTTAATACTTAAATCATTTAATTTAAATCTACGTAAATTGTTATTTAATTGCGTTTATTTAATCAAACTTTTTTACATATTCCTTTACACACAATGTCTAGCTAAAATGCACACAGCAATGACTTTGAGCAGCAAATATTTCAAGTAGAACTAGATTTAGATCGGGAACAGGAACTAAGACTGCATTATGTCAAGCGTGTCTGTGTGTGTGCGCACTTAACGTTAATCCAGTTATATTTTTCGGGAGCCTAAGGCAATAATGTAATCTGTTTCTGTACTAATTGAGTAATTACATTACAGTTACAGTTTTTTTATTACTTGCATTACAAAGGCTATTCTGCAGTTATCGATTACATGAAGAGCAGACCGAGAGGGGAAAAAAACAGACATGTTTTTTTCCATTAGGAAAGGGATTTGTATTGCTGCGTGGAGACTGTAGACTAAGATGTATGTTGTTAACTCATAATTATGAAAAAATACATTTCAGATCATTTTATCTGAAAGTAATAAAATGAATTGTACAGCAACTTCATCTGCTAAATAATTAAATACAGTTCACTTATTACTTATAAGAAAAGTAATGTGTAATTATTTAAAAAAAAATAATGTTTAATAATTTAATAATTAAATTAAATAAATGTAATAATTTAAATAATGACCAAAACAATAATCATTTCAATATTTCTGGTAGAGGTATTCAACAAGAAGACACCACAGTTCTTTTTTTTCCTTTGATTGGCTGCTGTAGAAGTGAACTGTACTTTGACCCTTGTTATCCACTCTGCTCTTTCAGACCAGAGAAACATCACAGCTGGACAGAACATCACTCTGCCATGTCAAGCTCCAAACAACAACATCATAGTTATAGAGTGGAGCAGAGCTGACGTGAAGGAAGAATATGTCCTTATGTACCGGGACAGACACTTTGATTCAATCAACCAGCATCCATCTTTTAAGAACCGGGTGGATCTGCAGGACAAACAGATGAAGGATGGAGACGTGTCTTTGATTCTGAAGAATGTGACGGTCAATGATACTGGAACATACGAGTGTCGTGTTTTCATGAAAGGAACAAACCGCAGGAAGAGAGCTAACCTCAATACTGACCCCATCAACAAAATCAAGTTAAATGTCGTTCCTCCAGGTGAGTGAGCAGAGTTGAGTGTGTGTGTGATCAGAGGTGAAGCTGCTTCCTGGTTGTTGATGTTTGTTTCTAAAGATGTTGTTGATGAGACTTTGTAGAAAGCAGCTGGTCTGAGTGATGTGATCAGAGTGCAGTAGATAATGTCTGACAGCAGTTTGAAGAGGAAATGGATTCTGTTCTGTTCTTCACTCATCACCTACCTGACAGCTGACACCTCACACCTGTTTCTCACCTGCAGGTCACACAGGAGGACACACAGAGGATGGAGTCAGTAGAGGATATTTTGGTCTGTTAGCTTGTGGTTTGTTTCTTCTTCTTGTCCTCGTTGTTGCTCTTGTGATCACTCGTAAACTGGCAAAGAGGAATTTATCTGAAGTACCAGAAATCACAGTGTCACTAAGATCATGAAAACATCATTCTCATACAACCTCTTAAATGGACCATTACTTATGTAGCCTCTTTTTAGTCTGTTACTCCCCTGTTACTTAAAATAGAGGAGTATTTTAAAATGAATGCAGAGTTGAACCGGGAGCCAGTGAAGCTTCCCCTCATATCTTCCCCTCAGATATGAGGGGTAGATATGACAGTAGGAGGGCGGTCAAGGTGACAGGTAGAAGGCTTTGATTTGTGGATGAGATCAGAGATATCACTGATAGAGGGAAGTTGGAAGGCAGAAAGGCAATGTAATGGAGGTGGGGTTGAGAAGGAGGAGCTACATGTAACATCAGGAGCAAGGTGTATTTTATGAATTTTTTCAGTGAAGAATAGCATTAGAGAGTCACAGAAGTTAGACGAGTAGAGATGAGTGGGCAGAAAGTCAGGCAGCCTGAGAAAAGAGTTGAATAGTGAGAACAGTGTCTTAGTAGAATCCTCGCTTGAACAGATAATGTGGAGTCCGATTTAGTTTGGTTAATACACTCTTTATAAAACAGAACATGACTGTTAAACATTTCCTTATGAATAGTAAGGTTGGTTTTCTTATGGAGATGCTCATGTCGTCGGCCTTTAGATTTCAAAAAGACGGAGTTCAGGTGTGTACCAAGGTGCTGAGTGAGAAAAGGATACAGGTCTAGTTTTTAGCCCCGGCGGAAGGGGCTACATGAATAGGATGAGGGACCTATGGATTCTTCGATACCCAACATCCACAATGACAGCGAAGGGCTCAGAGAAGAGCTCGAGAGGATGTGGAGGGTGAAGGTAACGGTGGTCCCCGTGGTAATCAGAGCACTAGGTGCGGTGACTCCCAAGCTAGGCGAGTGGCCCCAGCAGATCCCGGGAATAACATCGGAGATCTCTGTCCAGAAGAGCGCAGTCCTGGGAACAGCTAAGATACTGCGCACGACCCTCAAGCTCCCAGGCCTCTGGTAGAGGACCCGAGCTTGAAGGATAAACCGCCCGCAGGGGCGTGCTGGGTGTTGTTTTTTTTTGTATATGATGTTACGTGCCAGTTCTCTTTCCTATCCTGCTGAACCCGTAAGTGCACGGAACACACTTTCCTTAAAAATCCAGATACTGATTCATTACCCTTGTAATTACGCCACACAATGAAGCTTTTATTACAGGATGGAGGACTTTGAAAACAGAGTCTTTCCTCTGTAACAACACATAGTGTAGAAGGTTTCTTACTTAATGTTAACAGATAATAGGATGAATTAGGATAAATAGGATGAACTCACTCTGTCACACAAACAGCTGTTGTGAGAGCTCATCCTCATCCTCAGAGGCCTGGCAGTCTTTATTAGCACAGACTCAGAGGAAAAAATCTGAGTGTGTCATTTCACCCAGCAGCTTGTGTCTTTCCCCCTGTGATCAGTTTCTATAGCATGTACTTTCATGTTTTCAAACAGGAATATATTATTTTTTATTGTAGTGGAGTTTGTACTTTTTGTGTAGATTAGAGAAGAGAAAGAAAGAAAAGACAAGCTCCTAACTCAACATCCAAGGAGAGGGACAATCTTTAGGGAAAACTTGCTATTTCTGGAGAAGAGTAAGCACTTTAAAAATGAAAATCTGTTGTAAGTATTTTAGATCATTTAAAAAAATTACACTTCTATGCAAAGAGTGTGAATAAATTCATAAATACAAAACATACCAAAAAAATTAAAATAAATTGCAAAAATAATCACTTCATTGTTCTTCATTGTGTTATGTTGTGTTCTATTTCTTTATTAAAAAGGATTTGTGCATTGAATGGTGCTGGGAGCGGTCTCGTTTGTGCAGCTCTCGTCTTACTGGAAACTGCTAATCCCTAAACACACACAAAAAAAAAACACCTGAGCGTAGCTCCAGGCAACACCAGGTGAAAAACATACTGACAGAAACTGCAACACTGAATCCTTAAAGATATGTTTCATATTTCTTTATGTAATCTTTTAGATGTCATTTTAAACTTGTTGTTACACTCTGACTTTTTTTCCTCTTTTTGACTTACATTAAAAAGTCATAAACCAGGATTCAGATAAGTTAGCTATTGAACAAAGTCCCACCTTTACAACACTTCCAGTAAAAGCTGACGATAAACCTGGACATTGAGCTTCTTTAAATGCATTATATAAAAACAAGCCATTAAAATGTAACTTGCACAGCTTATAATGAGCCTGTGACTGTAAGCAGAGAACAAACAAAATGGAGGTTTGGGTTTGCTGCTGAGCTTCACCTCCCCCACTGTTGCTGAAAGAAGGAAGTGGTTTTTTTTGTTTTTTTTACAGAGAACATCTGTGCTGTCATGAAACTATTTTCTGAATATTTTCAGACTTTAAAACCAGTTCATGATTTAAGTCTTTAAGAATCTCTCCCTGAGACTCTGAATGTTAAAAATGTGATCAGATCAGTTTTATCAGTCACGTGTTTCCAGTTTAGACTTTCCTTCTCCTGTAATTTGTCTCTCTGTGTTTTATGAGAAGCCGACTGTTCCTATTAAAGTCGTCATGTGGTCAAAACACAGCTGCTGAAAGACTTGAAATGTACTTAAAATGCAAAGAGCAGAGTTGACTGTAATAGCTGGATCACAGGGAGTTAAAACTGAAGGTCATGTGACACAGTGATCTCTGTGGGACTCGTTTACTTAGTAACTCGATCAGAGTCTAAGGCTGCCTCATGTAGGTCAGCTTTTTTGTTACATTTGAGTCACATCTGGCCCACACAACTCGTTTTAGACCCTCCTCTGTTGTCTCATATACCCAGTGTGACTCAGAAAGATGAAACAGAAACATTGCTGTGGAATTTCTGTTATAAAAATTTCAGAAATAAAAATGAGTCATAAACATGACCTTAGATTGAATATCAGTCATTTAGTGACTTAAAAAACAGAAAGTATTCCAAAAACATGTACGTAAACCCCCTTTTTAACTCTGTGACTAAGAATTAAAACTGTGTTTCAGTCTAGGTTGTGTTCAGGGCCGGGCTCTGTCAGGGAACAGATGACATGTCTGTGCTTGAAGCTGTTTTGCAGTGTGGTTTCAACACCTCCCCCACACCATAGAAACAGTAGAGTGCTGCCTTGAACACAGAACACAGAAACAGACTTCCTCTTTAACAGGACTGTGCAAAAATCATGAATCAGTCATTACAGACTTTTTACAGTTAAATTAACTTTTTAAAAATAGTTTAAAGTTAAATATTTTTTACATGTTTATAGTAGTTTTTGATGCATTCTCAATCACCCAGGTAAGTCACTTGGATGAGTGACGAAACATTTCTCCCATTGAAAATGCCACGTCCAGGAGGAACAGAGTCAACTTTTGGAGATATAGCAGTTTTTCTTTAACTCAACACATAAAACAGGGTCAAAGTAACACAGTTTTAGTATTTTGTAGCTTTTGTCTCAACCCATGCAGACTCAGTCTGTCTATATGATGCATCTACTTGGTATTAAAACCACACCTAAAAACAGCTTCAACAACAGCATAGCGCATGTTTGCATTTGATTTGTTTGCTGTAAGCTTCCCTCTTAAACTACCTCCTTCCTTCACAAGTATGGGGCTCAGCTGAACTCAGTTTTGGGAGTTGAAATCAACAGAAAATTTTTTAATTTGAGACTTAAAAAAGCAGCTTTTTACTTCCACAAAGGACATAAATAAAAGAAGGTATGAACAGCACACAGTGTCTCTAATGTTTGTCAGCTGGCTCACATGGGAAGTCCAGTGTCACATTTCCCTGTAGGATGGAAATCATGCAAACATGATGATTGCCTGCGTGTGCTTGTTTTAGCTTTCATCATCCTCTATGACCGACCACAGCTCGTGTTAAAAGTTTTGATGTTGTATAACTGTGTTTATGTTTGCTTGGAATCGTGTACATAAGCAGGATATAGAACTAAACTATTTTAAGCAACTCTGAAGACAAGAAACAGTTCAACAAGGGGAGACCATGAATGAGTAAAGTTCAGGACTTGAGTAATAAGCTGTCTGAAGTGCTGCAGTAGAAGAAGTAGAAGAAAGTCGTGAAAATAGTAGGAACTAGGGTGCAGGGAGTTGGACAGGATTGATGTTTTCTTTATCGTGCATGAATCACATGCAGTCTGAAATGCACCTGATATAATATTGGTTTTACAGCTCAGGGTGGAAATTTTTCCCACATCATTCTGTTTTATTTAGCAAACAAACAAAACATGGCATCTGGTCCTCGCCTGCTTTTGTTTGAGTTAATTCTTCGTCTGTTTATTGTGCAAACAATAGAGTTTGTTTCAAGGTGAAGTGTTGCCAGCCGCTCTCACATGTCACTCTGCTGTTGTCCTGTATCTCAGAGCCACAAACTAGAACCACATGAGGAACAAATTCAACACAGAATCAAGATTTTTTTTTTCTAGGGAATGTTTTTTTTAGAAAAAGTTCCATAATCATAGTTGAAGAGACAACAGAGCGTCATGAAAGGAGAAGCAATGAGAAACCATCTCACCATCAGACCAGACAGTCAGCATGACTGATGAGTGACAAATCATCATGCGTATGAATGCTGCAGTCATGATGTATCTTACAGCAGATCTTGATAAAATGCTGATATGTTTTAACATTTGGCAGGTTGTTAAACTCACAGGGCAACTCAGTTAAACGTAGTTTAACAAGGACAATGATCTAAATGACATAAAATGACCCAAGTGGAGGGTGTAGTTTGGTAACACAGTCTGTCTGCAGGTTGGGTGCTGTCATATTTGAGATTTTCTGTTGCTCATCATTTCCTCAACTTTTAAACAGCAAGGATTAAAGGGGATCAAAAACTGAAGAGAAAACTGCTGGATGTGAATAAAGTTAAATAGAAAACACGTTTTTATTCTGCTTTTACTGTTAAAATAACTTAAGTAAAATAAATATTATGAGTACGACTAGTTAGACACTAAAAATGGAGAGTACAGGAGAGTCATTTAAATTCAAATTGTACCACTACCACATATCTTAGAAAAAACTCGGATGATTTGAATTTAAAATTTGATGCAAAGTTTGTGCTTGTGTCATATTACAGTCTCTTCTTTGTGTTGTTGATACTTCAGTGCCAAGATAACCTCAGAGCAAATAAAGTAAAGAAAGAAAATTCTACTGAAGCTTTCTGGAGTTCAGGGGATTTTATAATTTATTTATAAATCCCTATAAATCCAAAAAAACGAAAACGAAAGTAATGCAGTAAGTTTTGTTTTACAAGAAATGAGAGAGGGGGAGGGTTGTGCTCCACCCACATCCTGCAGCAGCTGCGTCACGTGGAAAGTTTCCAACATTTATTCTCTGATTTTAATCCATTAGAACATATTGGTGACATATAACTCATTGTGCATTACTCAGATGGAATATCATGAGCTTTGCTGCAGGTTTTACCCTGTCAGAAAAAAAGTACACAAATTATAAAGTTGCAACAACTGAGCTCAATACAAGGGAAGCTGAAGCTATGAGGCCCTCTGGAGGTCAGATTTAAACACTATGAGCTGTACTTTTAAACAGGACAGACATTTATTTAAAGATATTTATAGATTTCTAACATTTATGATATTCATTCTGCTCTTTAAGCATATCTATTAAACCCAGAGTGCTGACTGTCAAGAGAAATATGTGAATGCGTCGAAGAGTAAAGAGAAACACCCAAACATCAATCAGTCTTGACACACAAAAGCATACACCCAGTATACGCGTCTGAACTTGACTGGAATGCATTCAGCTGCTGGCTGATGAGA